GAAATAAAATTTAAATAATAAGAGTAATATAATCGGTATATATGTTCAAACTAAAATCATAAAAAAAAGTATTATATATATTCTATCATCTTCAAACTCGTACATAAAACAAAAAAAATAATGACTTATTTTCTATATTTTCACGCCTAATTTTGTGATTATATATATATGAAGGAAAAAAAAAGATCGAGCTTCCTAAATTGTATGAAATATATTGAAGTCAATAGATTAAAATAAAAAGTACAATAAAATTGATTCGATAAATTTCGAATAAATATATATAAAATAACAAATAAAATTTATGACTTTTTAACCGATCATTAATTTTTTTAAAAAAATTAAGCCAAACTCGTTTAAAATATACTCTTAGCTCTCTCTCTCTCTCTCTCTCTCTCTCTCTCTCTCTCTATATATATATATATATATATATAATCGAATTTATAAATTATAAGAATATATTTAAAAAAAATAAAACACTCATTTAATAAGCATAAAAATAATTTATTGTATGAATTATAATAATATATTTTTAAACAATTGATGTTCTTAAATTTTACTAACAAATAAAATTAAATCAAAAAATAAATTTGATTAGAATTTTAATAAAAAAAATAATTGAAGAAATAAATTTTAAACAATAAGAGTAAAAATTAAAAAAAAAAACTAAGAAAATAAGGAAAAAAAAACCAAGATTGAGTAGTATAATGTGAGGGTAAAGTAAATCATCAACTCCGTATGGAAAAAAAATAACGATCGATTTTTGAAAATTGTAACACTCAATAAAAAAAAAACATAAATTGATGAGAAAAATAGAAAAAAAATCAAAGAAAAAAAAGACATATAGTGCATCATCGAAGGATTAAAATTTTTATTTTAAAATTTTAGTGATCGAATGAAATAATTCAAAAGTTTTAGAAAAACTTAAGGAAAAAAAACTAAGGGTGAAAATAAAAATATAAAAAAATAATTTTTTTAAAAAAATACAAAGAAAATAAGTAAGAGTGAAAATTAAAAAGGAAGGGGAAAAAAACCAAGATTGAGTAGTATAGTTGAGGGCAAAACAATAATTAAAGTAAGAGTGAAAGTAAAAAAAGGAAAGTTATACTTGTTCAAATGAACAGGACCCTCTTTACTCTCTCTCTCTCTCTCTCTCTCTCTCTCTCTCTCTCTCTATATATATATATATATATATATATATATATATATATATATTAGAATTTATAAATTATAATAATATATTTTTAAAAATAAAACACTAATTTAAAAAGTATAAAAATAATTTATTGCATAAATTATAATAATATATTTGAAAAAACACCGACGTTTTAAAATTTTATTTACAAATAAAATTATTTTAAAAAATTAATTTGATTAGAATTATAATAAGAAACAAATAATTGAAGAAATAAATTTTAAAAAATAAGATTAAAAATTAAAAAAAAAACTAAGAATATAAGAAAAAAAGTAATAGTGAAAATTAAAAAAAAAAAACTAAGATTGAGTAGTATAATGTGAGGGCAAAGTAAATCATCAACTCTGTTTGGAAAAAAGTAACGATCGATTTTTAAAAAAACCAAAGAAAAAAAGATATATAGTGCATTGTCTAGGCATTAAAATTTTTATTTTAAAATTTTAGGGATCATAATGAAATAATTAAAAAATTTTAAAAAACGTAAGGAAAAAACTAAGGGTGAAAATTAAAAGGAACAAAAAAAGAAAATAATTTAAAATTAAAAAAATAAGAAAATAAGTAAGAGTGAAAATTAAAAAAAAAAAGTGAAAAAAAACTTAAAAAAAAAATCAAATAAACAGCACTCACATAATAGTTCACTTTTAATTGAAACAGTGAAACTATAACCTGTTTTAGATATATAAAGAATTAATGCAAAAGAGAAGGAAAGAAAAATCAAATGTAAGAAAAGACAAAAGAAACGAAAGGAGATGAAAGGGCATAATCAAATGGCGGGGAAAAGCACGAGAGGAGATGAAAGGGCAGAATCATGGCAAAGCAAGGAGAGGATGAGGAAAAAAAAAAAAAGAAATGAGGAAGAGGAGCAAAAGGACAGACATACAGTACAATTGAGTCTGCATTCAGAATAATCTTGTGTCTAAATCAACAGTTAATGAATAGTAAACTTTTCAGCTATTTTAGTTTTTTAGTTAATTTTAATGCAAGTTCAATCATAAATTTGGTAAGATAATACCAAGGGAATTACTTTTGCAATCTGAAAAAACTAAAATACTTGTTCAATTAAAACTTTAAGTAGTGTATTTTTAAAATACTTTTAATTGAAATTTATTTTGTCAAAAAATGTCCAAATATAATTCTATGTAAAAAAGATATTTTTTAAAAAATATAAATAAATAATATAAAAATTAATAACTTTTTTAATGAGAATTAAAAGTCAAAGAGAACAATTTGTTCAGGACAAAAAAAAGTATAAATCAGTTCAAAAAAATGAATTAATTAATTCCTTTTATTTCAAAAAATGACTTAATTATTTGTCTAGTATTGAGCGTACTTAATTTAAAATAATTTTATTTTCTTATCAATATTTTCATGATATTTATTTATTTATTAATATTTTTCAAAACAAAATAAATTGGAAAAAAGAATAATAAACTAGAAGGAAAAAAATTAAATAATTAGTTTAAAAAAATAATTAAATCTTTTATCAAATTTAGAAGGACTAATTTATAATTTTCTCAGATAAGATTAGACGTTGTTATTTTTATTGTATCTTTTAAAGGTGAGAAAAAAATATAGAGGGCATAACTTCTTATCTTCATAAGAAAATAAGGATTGAGTTATAACTTGCCCTCTTTCTCCGCTCCAAACGACACTTCCGTGGAGTAATGTAATTTCCTCTATTGGGTCTAGCAAAACCACATGAAACGTGTTTTCTGTTTTCATCTTTTTATCAAATATACAATTATTATTATTATTAAAAAAAAAAAAAAAAAAACCAAACGAAACCATACCAAACAAACAAACAAGAGTAAAAACCGGTTCTTGCTCGAAACATGACAGTACGCACGAACGCAATTAACAACGCTGCAAGAAAATCTGAGCTGCTCTTCGAATTTGAATGGCTTCGTCCTCATCATCTTGTTTAATCCAGGGAGGCTCACTTCCTTCACTCTCTGCAGTTCGCTCACGCCATTCATCGATTGTATCTCTGACCAAGTTACCGGAAAATGGCCGGAGGACCTCAGGCTACCGGGGAATCCGCCAGAAAATGGCCTGCTTCGCTATGGTACAGCAGGCTGTAAAAGGAGCTCCAGCTACTTATGCTAAGGAAATGGAGAGGCTCTCTGCTAAGGAATCTCTGCTTCTTGCTGTAATTACTCTCTCTCCCTACTTGGATTAGAAGAAAGTTTTTTCATTTTTCTGTCTTGATGTTGAATTGGATTACAGTTGAATGCTTTTGACTGGAGAATTGCAAATCCATTTTGTTTAGTCATTTCTTAGTTTGCAGTTAGTGGAAAGAAAGTAAGATATGAATTCAATGGAGATTTTGTGCAAGAAACTGCTTTTTTTTTCCTTCTAATTATTTAAATGCTAAACCAAACAGAATAAAATCCCCAATTCCTGAAGCAGAAATGCCAAACCAAACAGAATATAAAGTAGAAAACAAAAACCTTGCTGTACAATCAACTATATAAAACTGAAGTAGCTGAGAAACTAGAGTACTAAGCCCCCAGTTCCTGCAAAAATAAAACGTTGGCTCCGATCAAAATATTTGCATCCATCCTGTTTTCTTTGTTAAAAAATAAACCCCAGGGTTTATTATCTTCAAGACAGCATATGCATGGAGGCTGCATCTTAGCAAAATAGACACAAATGGCCTTTTCTCAGACTATGCTTGGCCTGTTGAATTTAATATCCAGTCCCCTGCTTGTCTTGCTATGTAGCACACATATAACATTCTCCGCCAAACCATTTTTGTATCTGGACATGATAAAAATAAGTGAATGTTCTTGCTCTCCAGTGCTTGATGACATGGGAAAATACACAGGATTTATGCTTCTTCCTGTACATATCTCTCTTTTGTTGACACAGCTTGTTTAGATAGTTTATGAAGCTGTAAAAATGGGTTTTTTGGAATTTGTAAAGAGGCCTATAGTGGTTTGTGCTGATCAACCCTTGTGCCCATCTACTTATTTTGAATCGGGAAAGATTAAGCTGCAACTGCTGGCTTGCAATTCTGTCATTGCTTCAGATCTTTCAGGAAGTCATACCAAATCACTGCCTTGAATAACAGCAGCACCTTTTCCTTTCTTACCAGAATAAAAATAAACCTTTGCACATAAGCCTTTATCAATAGGCCTTTGGGTTTCCAATCATCCTAACAAAGGAAAGTCATGTTGCCATTATGAATAGAGTAATCCAGGCTAATGGCCTAACTTCATAAGCTTTCTCCAGTTTCAAAAGGAATCCCTTTGGAAAAGTACTTTATTTTAAGTTTTATTTATTTATTCATTAATGCGTGTCTGATGCTATGTAATTGATTTAGTTCAAAGATTCTGGGGGTTTTGAAGCTCTGGTCACTGGAAATACGACAGATATGCAGCAGATTGATGTGAATGAAAGGATAACTGGTCTTGAGCGGCTCAATCCAACGCCTCGACCAACTACGTAGGTGCTTAACAAAGGGCTTCCATTTGCTTATATGTTGTTTTTGTCAGATATTTACTTGTTTATTGAGCTACTCAGGTCGCCATTTTTGGAAGGGCGATGGAATTTTGAGTGGTTTGGAGCTGGAATCCCTGGATTATTTGCTGCCAAATTTATATTGGAGTGAGTATCATGTTGATGGGTCTTTGTTTCTTATTTTCGTGTTTCATCCTTTTCTATTTCCTACGCTGAGTGTGATATTTTATGGTTGCAACAGACTTGCATGGAAGTTTTAACTTCATTGGGTTGGTCAATTTGAGTGACTGTTAATTATCTTGGTTGTTGCAGGAGGTTTCCTTCAAATTTCGCTAATTTGTCTAAAATGGATGTGGTGATTAAGGATGGAAGTGCAAAGGTTACAGCAAATATGAAACTATTATACTCGGTATCCTCCTATCATTTAGTGCCCTTGTTGCTATACCAACAAAAGTGTGTGACTGAAAAAGAATTAGAGAAATTCCCTTGCACCAAATTTCTTACAAATAAAGGAGGAAAGTTTATCATATCTGCCTTACAGTAAGCATAATCTTCTTGAGATGCATACTTCTTGTAGATGTTGGCTAGTTGTGTTAAAACCAAAGCCTAAATTTGTGCATGATCAAAATCACTTCTCAAAATTCTGAAGTTCATGGTGTCTGCCAGTTGACTATTGCAAAAACCAACATTCATAATAATGACATACCCATTGATAATAATATCTGGGTAAATATTCTCTCAAACGACTATTGATTCAGCCTGCCTTTAAGTATCTTGGAAGGTTTGAAGTTATAGCAAACATGCACTCACTCTTGAGATATATTATCAAGTCTTCTCCAGGGCAAAGATGAAGACAACTTCCAGTTAATACTACTGTAAATATTTTTTGTTTGCTCTTGTTGTATGTTTTCGAGCTTTGGTTTGAATTCTTCTTGTGTGTAATGCAGATGGAAAGCAAATTCATCCTGTCCACCAAGTTAACTGTGGAGGGACCTCTTAGAATGAAAGAGGAATATGTTGAAGCGATTCTTGAGACACCAACTGTCATTGAAGAAACAGTGCCAGAACAGCTAAAAGGTGCATTTGGTCAGGCTGTTAGCACGATGCAACAACTTCCTGTTCCTATTAGGGATGCCTTTTCTAGTGGACTGAAAATTCCTCTAAGTAAGCATTTTGAATATCTGGATCATTTGCTCACAATCCTATTGGAGTATTCTCCTTCCTAGCCAACAAAGAAGAATACAGAATATAAGATCTGAAGTGACATGCATTTTTTTGATCCCTGCACCCCAGCCTCGTGAGAGTTAACTTCAACCTCCCATTGTCTTGGATATTTTAGGGATGCTCCCTTCTAGCAACTCATTAAGCTGTAATTGTAGCTTGACATTCACATTGATCATCTGGTATAACCTTTTAGGTTTTTTACCTCTTTCTACTCTCTTCTGCCTATTCTATGCAATGATTCTGCTAATCTTCTCTGAAGGTGCTCAAAGTTTGGGTCAGAAACCTTTCCTGAGGTGTTTGTAAATATCACATACATCTCTGATGGTTTTAATTGTGCTTCTTTGTAGATATGCAAAAATTTCCCAAAAAAAAAAAAACTGTTTTTATTTTTAATTCATCATTGATTAGTTACTTATCTACTAATTAATAACAATCAATTTAAGAGTGTTACTCTTTTTTGTGTGTTTTTGACTGTGTTCCATTGCAATACCAAGGGTACTTTTTTGAGAACACTGATTTGAGGTCATGCTATGTAAAGAACCTAAAGGCTAGTTTCCTACATTCTTCTGTATTCAAGAAAGTTGACCCTGCAGCATATATCAAGATTTGACAAATTGTCAGACATTTTTTGTGTGCTGCTGTTAACCAACTGCGTGTGTTGTGTTTCACCTACAATTATGTCATTAGCAATTTAGTGTTTTTTTGAATCCATGAAGTTTAACGGTCCTGAAATTCCACCCTTGTTCAATTTATTGGGGTCCCTTGGAATTGGTTTAAGAATATGAGGTGATGATCTTGTTACCTTTTTTTTTTTTTTTTTTGGTCATAGTGGTAGTTACTCATTGCTGGTGTCCTGCTAGATACAACAAATTATAAATGAAAAGAAGCTCGAAATTCCGGGGTCGTAAACTTATAATACATAATGATTCTGTGCTGCTTGAATTTTTGTAAATTGCTAAGTTAATTTGTCTATGCCTGCAGCCGGTACTTTCCAGAGACTCTTCATGATTTCTTACCTTGATGATGAGATACTTGTAAGTATTCAACTTATTCTACTTTGTCATATCATTCTTCGGTATAAACCGTTTGTCATTGAATTATTATTCAAGTATTCTCATTACAGAAGTGGATGAAAATTGCATGTAGGATTAATCTGCCATCTGAATTTTGTTTCAGTAGCACCTCAAGAGTAGTCTTTGCACAAATTGTAGAAGGAATTAGATACGAAAATCTTAAAAGTTCATGTGATCTTTCATTCTCCTGTGATATTGTACAAAAGAGCTGCTTTAAGAATTACTATCCAATGTATTTATTAACGAGGAGCACTATCATGGATGGATGTCTCCATCTACCAAGATTCATGAAGGCTCATACATTCTCTCCTGGGTCCCCTATAAGAAGCTTGAATTTACCTATTTGGTCATCTTTCTTTACAAGTTCCTACCATCTCTTGTGACCATTTTAGATTCAACACATAACATGGTGTTCGCTACAGATATAGCTTGGACATAAATCTATACTTTAACAACATCACTCATTTGCAAAACAAAAGGATAATGTCACTTGTATTTCTGTTGCCAAAAGGATGGTCTTGGAGAAGTATCTTGCATGGACATAAATCTTATACTCTAACAATATCACTCATTTGCAAAACAAAAGGATAATGTCAAAGAATTAGCAGCTAGCTTTGTGACAAATATGTAGGAATCCAAACCAGGAGGGTTAGGCATCAAATTATGAGTCTTTTTCCTGGTTTTTGACACAGATACTAAGGGATGCTGCTGGAATACCCGAAGTCCTTACAAGGTTGGATGCACCAGCCTCTCCATTAGCAGAACCAATTGCAGAGTATGAGAGCTAGAGATGTGAAAACTGACTGTTTATCTTTTATTTTTTTTCCCCAACCTTCTAATACAATGTAGACTTAACAATTCATTCTCTCTCAATTACTCTCAATAAGATGGGGATTCATTCCCTTTTAATGTTTAATTTTATTTGTTAAATGCTTGCTGACTGGAAATATAATGCTTCACTGACAGCAGAATTGATGAAACTTTCCTCTAAAAGTGTTATCAAGGTAATTGACTGAGATTAAGTTGATGGTTTCAATAAAAAATTAGTGGGTGGATTTGTTTGAGGGTCACTATCGGCACAATCTTCCAACCCTCGTGGTTTTTGTCCAACTCTCCAATTCACACACAATTTGCAATCTGTACGTTTCCATTCTATGCATAAAATTATTTGACCTAGGGTATATTTTACTGGTTGAAATGAAAGACTTTGGCCAAAAGCTGTAGAGGATTGAAAAAGTTATTGAAACTAGTTTGGCTACAAGTGTGAACATGATGGACTAAGAAGGTGCCGTGCTTAAGCTTTGCTATAATGTTGATAAAACCTCACAGCGTCTTGTTTCAAAAGTTTGCCTTTACGTCCCTTTGACATAGATTTTTGCGCAATTGCCCATATTGCATAGATATTCCCATTGGGGACTTTCCTAAGACTCCGTTAGATATTCATCCTAATTTTCTAATGGGGTTTCTTTTGACTTAAGCAGAAGTAATGGCTGGCAATCGCCAACAACCATTGGTAATGAAGGACAATAATCATTAATGGAATGGAATGTATTAAATAATTATGGTACCAAATTGAAAGTCATGGTTTATAATGTTCTTAATTTGTTATTGCGGGAAGATCTGAATGACATTTCAACTTAACAAAAGTTAAAGGTGTTTAAGAAATTGAACATGATTGGATACACAAAAATTCTGCCTACGCTCATAATGTACATTCATATATAACTCAAAAAGAAAACTCCGGTCTTCGCTGTGAGAATCATTTTATAGTTCAAGAAAATACGTTGAGCTTAATAACCAAAAACCAATCCCAAAACTCCTTACACATCCTATCATAAACCTTAAAAACCCTTCTCTCGTGCTTGTGTTTTGGCGATCCTGGTTCAACACATTAGACCACATTTTATACCTTGCACTTTCTATCTATTTATAATGGCTAAACACTTATTGAACAAAACAGAACAAACTTGATGATCAAATTTATAAAATTTAAAACCTACTCTACTTTTTTAACTTTTTCTTTTTTTGAAGGCAGCTACTTCTTTTTTTTTTTTTTTTCTTGATCTCTATTCTATTTACTTCTCTACGTACTACTACTAATACAAAAAAAAAAAAAAAAAAAAAAAAATATATATATATATATATATATATATATATATATATATAAACCATAAAGCCAACATTATTTGCTCCTTATGCAAGATTAATTGGGATGCATGTCTTTAAGTCTTAATAACATAGAAATTTATAGCCGACATTAATAAAAAATTTTAAGGCACGTTAAAGTAAAAAAAGAGAAATATTGTGATCTCATCAGTCATGCATACAGCTGATTACCTCTTAGCTTTTGCAAGGGGTAGTTTAAGCTTTAGACGAGCCACCTCAAGCACCAATATTGCAATTTGCAAATAAAGTATAAAAAATTGTTGACTTGCGACTAATTGTCTGCCCAAGTCATTGTTTAATAATAATAATAATAAATGCTACCTAGATACTTGGGTTTTCATAACCAAAGACAACAATAATTTTGGAAATCATTACATATGTAAAGTACACCCATCTTGAAGTCATTCATTCATTGCTTCTTGTCCTCATATTTAATCAAGCTGTCATTTTATGCTGCTACCAAAGCATATAAAATAGAAAACAATCCTGATAACCTTTATATTTTTTTCCACTCATGTGCAAACTTTATAGTTTTTGAGTTCTACATCGCCAAGTACAGATTATGGTTTATAATAAACACATATCACTAATTTGGAATCAATGAATTAATCCATCGTTATGGATCTGTATGTTACTTGATATGTATATAGCTTTGAAAATTTATTTGAATGATCACAATTTGCAAATTTCTATTGGTTATAAATACTTTAACACCAATAGAATTAATGATAAACACTAACAAAGTTTGCAAATTCACATTTTAATGGGTTTACTCCACATTTAGTTTTTGTACTTTTTGAATTTTTTTGATTGGAACTCTTAATAATTTTTCAACTTGATTGAAATCCTTTACTCTTACATATTTATTTATTTAGACCTTTTTATTAATTACTCATCCGATGTCACACATTAAAATTAATGATAACTAATTAAGAATGAACATGTGGCAATGTGGGCCTCAAATGTCACAATATTTTGACAAAATAAACCAAAATTAAAAAGATTTTTATTATTAAAATAATATTTAGCATTTAAAAATGAATAGAAAAATATCAAAGAGCCCACATCCCCATTATACTAGCCCTAATAATTATTTTTCTCATTGTTGTGCCTTAATTCATCTATAAAACTCATTCTCTAAAGTTGAAAATTTATAATACTTAAGTTTCAAAATCACAAAATTCCTAAATCCCTAAACCACTAGAATCCATTTAATTCAAACCCTCAAATCATACTCATCAAGCACACTCGTTCTCTCTATTGAAGAAAAACCTAAATCCCAAAATTTGAAATCCCTAATTCCAACGTTTTTTGCATTTTTCATCTGTTTCTCGCAATCCAGGAGGACATGACCACATCGTCCACTTTCTCTTTCTTGTCTAAATGTTTAGATGTATCAAAACTTTCGACATGTACTCTTAGAGATAAAGAATTATAGTGGAATTACGGAGAACTATCAATTATGTGTTTTTATAGGATGAAAAAAAAGAAAGATATTATCTTAGAGTGATGAACACTTAGGTGTTACATTTAATATTTACCCACTTTGACTAAATGAAAAAGAAGAAAAGATGTTGGTCGTAATTTTAAAGTGTGGTTTGAGGATGATTTAGATGGCGAGCAAAAGAGATTGTTTTAGACTTAAGAAATTGGAAAAAATAAATACATGTAGAGAAGCTGCATATTAGTGTCAAAGAATTTGAGATCAAATTAGGCGATTTTTATGTTAAATAATGAGAACGAAGAATTATTTATTTATTTTTTTAACTCACACACCAAAGACTCCTAGTAGAACTAGTCTGCTAAGATTTGAACTAGTGACCTCTTGTTGCAATAAACCACTTCCATTAGGTTACAAGCTTTTTGGTAAGAATTATTGATTGAACTAGAGAATTTAAAAGTAAAGAACAATGCTTACAATAAGAAAAAATAAAAAGAGTTGCCATTAGCGAAGATTGAAGATTTGAAGTTACGTTGTACCGAGTTAATGTTGTGGGTTTGACAATATTTTTAGAAAAACAACATTCCGTAATCTGTAATTGTGTTTCTAGGTTGGATAATATATTTTGACTTACGAGTGTGCCAAACTACATGTAATGTCAATTCTATAAAATGCAATGTTAGTTTTGTACAACGTTTATTGAACGAAAGGAAAGAGGGAAAAAAACCATTCTCCTAATATTCGTGTACAAAATGATAGGCTCAAGCTCAATTGTAATTCATAACTTATATTCAAATGAAAATATCACTTTTAACCTCAAGTTAAGTCCATAACTTGTATTCAAATGAAAATGACAATCTTAAGTCGAAGGTAAATAACATATAATATATCATAACTTGTTTTCAAAATCCAAAATTTGTATTCAAAATGCAAACATTTACCATAACATATTTTTTGAATTCAAAACCCATAACATATTTTCATATTCAAAATCCTAAGTTAAATCTTCCTATAGCAACATCTATAATCTTCATTACAACAGGACATCATTTTGTTTAGAACCACCACCAACAACACCATTTTGTTTTGCAATTCGTGATCTAATGAATCTCTTGAATTCCGAGTTTGGTTGTTTTCTTTTTAGAACATTTATGATTGTCTTTGAGGTATTAGTATTAACTAGAGTCAATAATAAAACATCTAACTCTAGTTAGAACATTTTTTCCTTTTTTAACCATTGAAGCATCATCATTTTTCTTTGTTCTAGTAACATCAACCTTCTTTTTGTCACTATTACTCATTAGAATTGGACCACCATCACTCTTTGGTTGGTTTATTTTGACAACATCATTATTTTTCTTTCTTGAAGCAGGATTAACCTTTTTCTTGCCCTTATTACTTCTTAGATTGGACCACTATCACCCATTTTCCGGTTCATTTTCAAAGCAATATAATTTTTGTTTATTAGACTTAAACTACCTACATCATTTCTTTTCTCTTATGAGAAGATCATTATAAAAAATTAACTAACCGATATTAAATTATAAAATTAATAATGCCTATTTAGTTATTTTTTGCCTATCTATTATGAAAGTCTATCCAAATCCATTGCTATATGGAATTCCAATATCATCTATCAATATACTAATAAATCATATCTATTTTTTTCCCACTTCATAACAACCTTACATAATGGATATATTTGATTGTTTATATCTCTACCAAAAGCTAGCAACACTTCTCCTTTTTAATGGATCGTTCAAGAATGCACCATCTAACCCCGTAATTAGTATGTACCCAGTTTTGATACCTTCTTTGATAGCATGAAAACACACACATATTTTTTTGAATCTATTTTCACCACCTTCATCTTTTTTTGTTTCAAGGATGATAGTATTATTAGCATCATATCATCTCAATTCAGTTTCTTAATCTTCGAGCCTTTTAAACTCATTTTGTATATATCTAAAATATCTCTAAAATACATCAAATTTATTAAATTGTTTGCATGTTTGGCTTGTGAAATTATAATCCGCACTTGTAAATCTACCATAGTGTCGGTACGATCTCATGTATCTTCTTAATCAATGCATTTCTTTCAATCCTTTTTTTTATATATATAAAATGCTCGCAAATACCTTGTAACTAATTCTAAAATTTGTGAATGATCAATCAAATGTG